CTCTGGCAGCCATCACATCTACCAGCACACGACTTGCCAACTGAGAGGCATCTCGTAGCATCTCACTGTGTCTAGTCGCCGTGGTTTGGTCAATGCCTGGAGTCAAGTTGACATACTGAGTTGCGGACATGAGGGCGTGGTGGAATCCGAATAGCGGCTGCTGGGGGTTCTGTTTTGGTTGCATGCGAGATCAGCGTATTGTTCATAGATAAAAAAAGATACGGTTCGTAGGTAGCTTACATCGGATGCTGGAGATTGGTTACCATCGTCGTAGTTGAAGCCTCCATTCCGAGGCATGGCATTCGAGAATGACTGACGGTATCTTGTTCCAGGCTGCCCAGGCAGGCGGCGACCAAGTGGCTGACGGTTGAAAGTAGGCCCAGGCCCATATCTGTTATAATTACCAGGAGGAACGGACTGTGGAAGGGAGCCACCAGTGAACGGGTCGTTGGGGTTAGTGGTAGCTTCGAACTCTCTGGAGCCTCGCAACAAGAGCTCCTCCTCCGAGGTTGGGTTGGTCATGGTCGTAGATTGCGGTGGCAGTGGCGAGCGAAGGGGTGCACCACCCGCACTCGAGTCTGAGCTGGATCGATTGTTAGACGACATCGTGACTATGAAGGATACTAGATGATAATGATAATAGAAAGCAGAAGGATAAAGGATATGACCAGGTTGCAATTACGAGACACCGTCTCGCGGAAATAGAAAGTATTAGTAGGCCTGGGTTCCGAAAAAGACTCCAGTCCAGATCAAGCGATGAGGTATGTTCTAGTCGGCTTGAATCCCTGGTAATTATGTTGTGCGGAAGGGTCAAATATTAACAATGACCGAAGGCACCGGGCAGTCAGGATGAAGTTTGGCACAGATGACCTTGGCAGAAATGGCTGTGGGTTTGGTGGAAGGAGAGGAAGACTGCAGGTGAGAAAGCTGCAGCGGTGGGAAAGTGGAAGAGGTGGGTAGTAAGAGTGTTGTGCAGAGAAAGCAGATAAATTTTTTGGCTCTCCCAGGTAAGGCGGAATGCAGCCTCTGGTCAGTAGGGGAGGGTTGAAATGAATATTGTATTTGGCTGGGTGGGTGATTTCGTCTGTTCTACGGGTTGTTGTTGTCAGTTGAGACGTCCTCGCCTAGTAGGCTGGTGCACAAAAGGCTGTACTTACCTCGAGGTACCGGTCTAGGCTCAAGTGTCCAGTTTGTCATGAATCGGGAGATGTTGAGCCGACGGCAAGGTGCCAGGCGAAAGAAGGGTGTATTGACGGAAGAACGCTAGGTGGAGGAGACACCAAACGAGATGGGCATCGGCGGGGGATGGTATGAAGGAAGTCAGGAAAAAGAGGAACACGTGTAGGTGTTGCGTGAGGGTGCTTTTCTGAGAAAATTGTGGTTTGGTACGCGGATAGTGGTAGGTAAAGGATGTTTGCTTTGGGTTGCCAATCCTGGGGGAAGTGGGTGACGGTAAAGTTGAAATGGAAGGAGAAAACGGCAGGAATGTGTCTGGGTTGGTGTAAATTCTGTAATGACCAAGGTGCTGCGCAGGAGTGGCAGATAGCACCCAAATCTATCTGTCGTGGCTTGCGGCTGGAGTGGAAGGTGACGAAGTAATCGTTGCTCGGTGCTGAGGTTCTTACCCTCCTGTCCAAGGATTCCCGATGGATCAAGTCGCCACTGGATCCAAGCAGAGAACTATTGCAATATCTGCCCGAGGTTCTGTGGTTGCATCATGTGATAATGCGTCTGTCCTGGCTAGCTCTCTGCCATCGTATCTCGTCACAACCATACTCATTCCGCAAGACGGCATCTAGGATGCTACCGCAACCCCGAACGATGCAACAACACCCCGGCATAAAATGATGAAACGCGATGATATACGAGAGTGTCACATACCCAAGGTCCACTGAACGACGTAAAGCAGCCAGATCTGACTGGCATCGTTGGCGGCGCCTGCTACAAAACCTGTATTAGCCACGTGACGTAGAATAGGTTATGGGTGTCAGGTGACAGCCAACGTGGAAGAGAATAGGTTCGCTCGCGCTCTCACTGCAAGCACGATGCTTAGAAAGCACCGACAGTGTCATGGAGGACAGCAAAACAGGCTGCATGACAATCTTTTGGTCTCTTTTCTTTTTTTTTCTAGTCCTTTTCCTTCGATATCTGTGGTGTTTGGGATAGGGGTATGAACATGGCGCCTTGAAATGGACTTACAGCCTGACAGGAGTTTGATCCATTTTGATGGATCAGTGCTAGTGAGCCTGGTTGAGATACTGGTTAGCTTAAAGTGGTTCAGAAGCAGCGGAGAAGTATCCTTGGTGTGTAATAGGTAAAACAAGGCAGCCCTTTGGATGTGTCAAGGGCATATGACCAGCTCCCGAGGCATGCCCCGGAGACAGACCTTGCTTCCCACCTGACAACAGGCACAGATAATAGACACCATCTGATATGTTTGAACTTACACTGTCAAGTATGGTGGTAGCTGATTCTGCAGAGCGGCACTGGTTGCTGGCTGCGGGTGATGGGTTGTTGAGTGAGCTTTTGCTTGCGGATAATGAAAGTGAAGTGGTGGTGCGTGAGGGAGGAAATGGGAAGAGGACAAGATGCGTGCAGACAGAGAGGGTCATCATAGAAAAAGTTCACGCAATTTTGAAACCACAACAGATCTGTGTGGCAGTCGTCTGCAGTCGAAAAAAGGGGGGTTTGACAACCACACACAGTTCATGGCAGTCCGGCTGTTACGGAGCTGCCAGCAAGGTTCGCGATGCCCGTATTCCGGAGCAAAAACGGAGACAATCACCTGGCAGCCGGAAAGTGCATTCATATTGCCGGCTGCCAAGATGCTCCAAAACAAATTGAGGTATGGCATACCGGAGCATGGTCAAATTGCAGCAATTGATGTGGGTTGAAATGATATGAAGCTAGAATGGTGTCATGGCTTAAGTATAGGTATAATTGATATACTACCGGCACGGAGCTGATGATTGTGGGTGCTGGCAATTTTCCAGGTGATATTGGCGTAGCATGTTAACCTCCCCTGAGTTCGGCGACCTGTAAGCCCCTATGGCAACTGCAATACACAAGGCACTAACATTTACCATGGCAAATACACAACAGTACAGGTCAATGGGGGTGGCCTGACTAAGATTCAGTGACTACACTGGTTTTGTGAGCAATGTCCCTTTCTTGTGAGTACTTGAACATGCTTGCCTCTAGGCACCCTTACTTGGGCTACTTAGATATAAATAGGTGTGCACGAATACAAAGAATATGCGTTGGTTTACATCTTGGAGTTCATGCAGACAGTACCAGACCAATAGAAACCAATGGTGACTTTGTCCAAAGCAGGCCGCCAAATAAGTGACATTGGCCACCAAGGGCACATCAGATATGTAGAAACTGAATTTACAGTAGTAGATACCAACCGAAGTAATAAATAGGCAGGTATCTAGGATTCATTTTTCCTACCTCGCATTAATGCAGTAGAATGATTTCGAATACCTCCCAATAGCAAATGGTATTGGGCTCCTCAACTGACCCAGCAAGCTTTAGGGAGCAGGCAGGCTATGGGATTGGGATGTGAAGCTGAATGTCATTGGTAAGGGAGTGAGTTCGTGCTGTAGTCCATGGCTATGTTCTATAGGAGGTAGGATCTAGCCATCACAATGGCCCTGTAGGTTAGTGCTGGTACGTTCCCGTTTAGATGCAGCTGTGCTGGAAGTACTCACCTACGCGATTTTCCGGGTATTTCAAGCCAAGCAGAAGGCTGTCAAGATTGGATGTGACGGGCTGGTACCAAAACGAACGATATGCAACCCACGTAGCTCGACACCACAGCCGACATAGCTTGCGGGCAGCAATTAAAGGACTGGATGAGCCATGCAAGCGTTTTCATCGAACCTGTAACATCATGGTATAGTGTTTTTCCTTCGTTCCCTGGAGCTGCGTGTTCTGCGGACTGGGTGCTGAGATATTTGGGGCGGCACAGTCGGAGGCATGCCCTCGAAATCCAGAAATTGTCAGCGGTCGCGTCTCTATCCAAAGGCCCTATCACCGCACCACTTGAGCAGTCCCTCAGCAGAATGTTCTGCTAGGTAAAGCCCGATATTAATATGTCCATGGCCCGGTGTCAGACGCCCACGAGCTTGTGCTCCTTACCCGCCACTGCATTAAATCGAGTATCGCAACTGATTCGTGTTGGGCTTCTGCAGGATAATTTCGATACCCGATGTCGTCCTTTCCCACCTGGCGACAGCACCAGCTATAGACCAAGGGTGCGCTTGATGGCCACGTCGCACATCTTGCCTGTTTCTATGATTCGTCCGCTCGAGAAGATTGCTGAAGCGTGTCACCGTACCGTTGTTGCATGGCATACAAGAAAGATGCGCGATCAGATGAGTTCAGTCGCCGGCATTGGTCCGTGGGGATGATTACACGCACTGCTATTGCGATAGGAGATATCATGAATGTGGATAGGGCACGATTGCACGATACCTGGCGTGGGTGTCACAAAGCCAACATGCACCCCCGATGTATAATCGTATTCACGATTTCGGCTCCTGTGGCAGAAAGGCGGCAAGACCTAGCTTCCAGCGACCAAGTTGGCGTGCACATGTGTGCGTTCCGGGTCTTCGTATGGCTGCACCGGAGCTTGGATGCAAGCAGCGCGGATCTGAATGCTTCTGAGTGAAGGTCGTTTTCTGACTGAGAGAATGTTTGATCATAAGATGGGTGGACAACTGTGAGATTTGTGGAATAGGCAGGAAATTAATGACATGACCTGTTGTATACATTTTCCTCGTTGGCGGACTACACGAGGCATGTCTACAACAAGCTCACCAATGAAAAACATTACACAAATACACAATACAGCAGCAATAGCAATTGTATTGTGCAAATACGGGATGGCATGGTTTGCCCATATAATCAGAATACTCGGAGTCTGGTTTCAAAAGGTTAAAAAAAAGAGGAAACCAACACCTGCAAGAACCGCAAAAGTTGAAGTTTGAAGATTATGACAAAGACGCGATTCGAACGCGCGCGGATTGCTCCAGCAGAATATAGCACCGTTGTACAGTGTAAGACATTGTCTTGAGTCTGCCGCCTTAACCACTCGGCCACTTTGCCTTGTTAATCCGACGCTTAGTGGGTAATATATTTCTCTCAAAGTCAGGGCGAGAAGGCACAGTGGGCTACCTGCATGCTGTGGCTGCCCCACTATCCGAAGGACTGGTGTGTGGACGCAACAGACTTAGGACCACTTGCCGTGCCTCTTGCAACTTAAACCACATTGGCTTTGACATGCCACGCGGAAAAAAGCAAAAAAATAGATAAATAGAGACTGGATTGGAGCTGTAGCTGGCGTCAAACTTGCAAGCTTTTGTGGGAGACATCTGGCATGTAGGGCTATGCGCAGTCTGCTCTTGTAAACCAGCCTCCTACCGTCATATATGTTCGAGGTACCTTTTATGGCCTGATACAGGGTATTTTGGGTACCGACACTCGCCCGACCCGTATCGAATTGCATCCGTCTTATATTCATGGGACAATTTGGCATCTTGTAAATAGGGAAAAAAACACTATGTTTTACAAGCGCATCGATTCTCGAGCTGAGTCTAGCACGAGCGTGCTCATAATGACTTGTAATTGGAAAGCTGGGCAGCTATCGCGTGGGCAGTGGACAGCTTCTTACTATCCACAACGCTTCACTTTCTGGACGCGATGAGTACCGAATAGATTGCAGTCAAGGTATGGCGAAAGCGATCTCTAAAAAAGTAAAAGTGTGATTGTGCGCTCAGCTGTTTATGTAGATAGAAAACCCGTCAAGTCCAAGGATAGGCACGCGGTCACATCACCTCTTCGAAGACTACTTGACTCGTCGACCTCCCTATGACTTTCTTCTCTCTATCTACACCATCCCGCTCAGGTCGTGACAGATTAATTTTCCGCTTGCGCATGCGCTGCGACGACATCTAGCTGCCGCGAAAATCCGTCAATAGCGCTTTCACTGCTGATCTGCGTTCGTCTCTACTCGGACGCTCAGCGTGGCGCCGAGCTGGAACGACCAGTACCTAAGCCAACTAATGAATCTGTATTTATGGAATCTGCAGCTCAAGATTTCAAGTAACATCGAACAGCCTGAATGTCGGACAGCAGGATATCACTATATCTGCAACCGTAATATTAGGATGTATAATACTGACCTGCCAACAACGAGAGGCGTTCAGGCATAATGCCCCTTATGGCTGTATGATATCGCCTGCTTTCTCGGCACGCATGCCTGCGCAATGATCTCGCCAGTAATCGTGGCAACCAGGTTCACCAAGGCAAAATTTACAAGATATGTGCTCATCAGATTATTCAAGGTGTTTGGGACACAAACCTGACGAGCAAAGTAACCCGGCATCTGCAGTGATGGAATTGCATAGAAAAAAGATGCAAATCGTTGATGGTAGTGCGATAAAGGCTATGCGGCGTTAGTGCCGAAATAGAACAGGTCATATGAGCTTGTGTTCAGGGACTAGAAGCAAACCTTTGCAGATGAATATTTTAAACATTCCAAACAAGGACTGGAGCTTCACAAATATTATACACGAGTCTAAATCACGTAAGCTGTGGGTTTCTTGGACGTTCAGACTAATCTCCTTAGCAATATCAGATATCTAAGCACCTAGCTGGGTTCTTCCGATCCGTTTTCTGGTTAAGTTTCCATTTAACTACTGGTCGTTCTGTTTAATCCGTTCTAGTTAGGAATCAGCAAGTACAAGGTAGAAAATCCGAAGACGTGGTCCGCATGAATTGTTTCGCTGTAGCAGAATCAGTGTGATAACAATCGGCTGTTCTCTACACACTGGAAGGGAGTATGTGGCGTGTAACCTGATCAAACTATTTGGAGGATGCGGTGGAGAAAGCTGATGGAACATGGTCCGCCGAGTGTTGATGGTCTGACACGATCGTCTGGCGAATTACCGGGGGATGCCTTTGCACGGTGTCAGAAATCATCGAAGAAGAATCACGGCTCAACTCACTGCAAGTGTTCCTAGAGCTAGTCGGTCGTGGCCGAGATTAGCATCTTAGATAGCCTTGGTACGAGAGAACAAACTGCTGTAGACTGCGTCCACAACAGGCGAGGCGCTGATCATACGTCCGCCGAAATATCGACCGTTCAATCCCTTGATGGCATTCTCGCCGCCTTGGACCTTGTCGAACTTGAGGTAAATGTCGCCTTGCGAATTCGGATCGAGCGAGATGTGGACCACATGGCCATACTTCTCTTCGGCTTCCTGTCGAACGTCATCCTCCAATTCTTTGATCCATTCTTCACCTTCTTCCCTGCAATGTTGGTCAGTGATGATTCGACCGTATAAGAGACCGGCAAGACATACTCATTGGGATCAAACATATTCCGCAGCAGAACACAGCGACTAGCCATATTGACGTTTACGGGTAGGTTAGGTTTGGTCTCAGTCTTGGGCTTCAGGACCTGCCTCTCGGGAGCGACATTAGAGTCATCAGTTCTGGCAAGTTTTCTCATCAGAGCATCTCGACTGTAGTTGTTAAAGTTCACGCCAGCAACGTCGGTGTCGTCCAGAGCGCTGGCACCAGTGGCCTTGTCATTGTCGCGACCACCAGCGCGATCGAAGCCAGAAGCTTGGGCACCTCGTCCACCAGCACCGGAGAATGCGGATCCCTGGTATGGTGTGTTCTGGCCCTGGAATCTCTGCAAGAGGTTGGCAGTTGACTCAGGAGTAAACTTATCATTTCCAAGACCGACGCGAATCGGTCGACCAGCAAGGTCGAATCCATTCATTTTCTCGAGGGCTTCACGGGCTTGATCAGCTTCACGGAATCTACGGACGCAGTTAGCGTGGCACCCAAGTGAGTTGCGAGAAAAGTGCAGACGTACTGTACAAACCCATAGCCGCGGCTGCGGCCAGTATCATCTTTTTGGAGCTGAACGAATTCAAGCTCGCCAAATGGTTCGAAAACATTCTGTAGATCTTGCTCTGTAATACTGAAGTGGATATTCCCCACGTATAGACGATGGAAGGGAATTGAATTGGCGTGGGAGCCGCCACCCTCGGTAGTGCGGACTTGACGATTTTTCTCAGCCTCAGTAAGCTGGACGATGACTGGAATACCTAGCAGTTTTTGACCTGTGAGCTGAAGAGCAGCAGTGACGGAATCTTCGTTTTTGAATTCAACGTAGCCGACTCTGCAAGGGTGTCAGTCAAACTAAGCCAACTAATACAGAGCCGAATACGTACCCCTTGGATCTCCCGCTAATGCGATCTTTGACAATCTGAGCCTCATTGACGGGCCCGACCTTCTCAAAAAATTCCTTGAGCTCTTTGGTTCGGAGACGGGCAGCCAGTTGCTGAACGAAAACAGTGCGACGATCACGCTCATCCTCTGTTAGCTGCGGGGTGGCATCGCGCTTTGGGGTACGTCCGCCTCGAGGTCTTTCATCATCTCTGTTGCGGTAGGAGCCGCGATCGCGGTCGTCACGGTGGTCATCGCGGGGACGGTAATAGCGGCGAGGAGAGCGGGAGCGAGAGCGATCTCGACCGCCACGACCACTGCGGTAGAAGTCTCCATCCCCTCCTCTGTGACGACGTGAGTGGCGGCGCTCATCATCACGACTCCGACTTCTGCGCCTACTCTTGTGGCTCCCTGTATCACTACGTGGGGTGGCCTCTCTATCTTCTACACGATCCCGGCGTCGGTCGCTTCGGTCACCACTGCGGTCGCGTCTTCTGGGGCTGCGATCACGTCGTCCACGGTCCGAACTACGGTCACGGTCTCTGCGATCGCTTCGGTCAGATCTTCGGCGGTCTTCAGAATCCCGAGGCTGTGCCTCTTTGGACTCTTCCTTATTACCAGCAGTGGCATCAAGCAGTGCCTCGACGTCGAGAGTAGCCATCTTCAAAGCCAGTCAGGTTGATCGCAAAATCGACAGGTGGATGAAGGTGACAGATGTATACCTAATCAGGATTGGTTCGTGATGGATGATGGGCGCGAAGAAAGGGAAAAGAAATAAGTTGACAATACAATTAAGAGTAGCCTCTGCTAGTTACTTGGTGAGGCGGAGAAGAATGTGGTCAGGTGAGATGGCAAGTTGCAGGCTGCAGGCTGGGCAGAACAGAAAATCTGTAGGTACCTGGGTACTTACATAGGTACCACACGGAACGAGTCAGCGCGGCTACCTACTCCCTGAACCACTGATACCAGCCACAGTGGGACGCCCGAGATCGGTAAAACCCCACAGGCATGTTGCTGATGCACCTTCCGAAGTACCTCAACACGCATTCATGTACATGGACAGCCTACCATGCCATATCCCTCGTCCTGTAAACGCGACCATTCGCCATTGTCACTTGCTCCCTTTCTACTTGATACCTTGCAAGGTCTTGATCAATTTAAGATATTCAGCTTTTATCATGTTATCTTGACCCCAACAGGACTATCTACCTGTGTCCCCCCGAACTCACTTACCAGGTAATCAAGGGAGACTAGGTATCTCACTTATAGGAGCTATGCAGCTGGATCAAGGAAGAATCAACATATAAAAGAACCGGAGGCGTAGGACATATTATGTATATTAGTTTGTTTGTGTTGAGTAAGCTGAGTATCTCCCTCCACTCCGAGTGGATGACCAAACGCCGCCCGTGATCTCCGTTGAGTATTTCCTTTCGTACCGGGTATGGACACAATTGCCCTGCCATCTGTGTCTTTCATACAACTACATTGCCCTGTAACCACAAGACCGTAATGCCAAGATAATATCACAGTGGCATGCCTAGGAGTCTAATCCAAACCTGATAACCCATGAACCATCACTTTCATCTGCTTGCGCTACTATTTCGTCTTGACCGGCATAGCCAGCTCGGTGCCAAAGATGCGGTCCCAGAAGGCACTAGTGACGCCGAAGCCTAGCTCGTAATCGAGAAAGTGGTGCGCAAGGTGGTACTTCTTCAGCTGCTTATACCACAACGGCAGGTTCTGATGGTGTAGAAAGTAGTGTGTCAAATCGTAGCACACGTAGCCAAAGATACCACCGCAGTAAATGGCCGTGGCAAGATGCCAGTCCCAATAGAAGAGTGCATGAGCAAGCTTCCAGAAGGGAG